CCGAGATTGGAACATTCCTGCAGTTACAACTCTACACCCTCCCCACCCCTGGGGGAAGGATACTGTAAATCCCCATTCCCTCCCCATCCCACTAACCTGCTTTCCAGCTCCGTTCTCCTGTGCAGGGCAACAAAAGAAGACCCAGCCGATCAGCTGGGATTCGGGAGGCAGTGAATAGATGGGGGCGGGGCCAGTCAGAGGCAGTATTTGTGGGTTTTCTGAACTACTCAAAATTTCCGCTACCGGTTCTCCAGAACCTGTCAGAACTGGCTGAATGGAACTGGCGTGCATAAGTGCACCAATGTGCCTACCGTCCCTGTCCTATTGTTTCTTTTTATTTTTCTTATATGTATCCATTTCATGTATTCATAACTATGTTTATACTTATACCTGTTATCTTATAATCGCTTGACAAAATAAATAAATAAAATAAATAAATAAAAGGAATGCCATCTCTTCTCTCAACCTTTTCTTCAATGCAGACCCCCTTTAAATATCTTTTGTGGCCACGGAACCCCAGGACTTAACTCAAGAAGTCAATCATACCATTTCTCCAAGCCTTCGGGGACTCCCTGTGATGACATCTGCCCCCTTCTGCAGATGACAGCTTGAGAGCTACAGACCTAACACTAACATGGGTGCTTAACTCCTCAGAGGAAACGTAAACACGTGAAAGAAACCCCACCTCACCTCCCCCAACCTGACCCTTGTCCAGGCGAGTAGGCCTACCAGTCTCACCACAGCCAGAGTGGCTGGGGACGAGGCAACCCCCGGCACATGTGAATTGTGGCGGGCACGTGTGTGTGTGTGTGTGCGCAAAGGCCTCTGTGGAATGGGAGAGCTACAGGCGGTGGGACTGGAAGGGGCAATGGATTCCGCGCAGGAAGAGGCAGTCGGATTAGAGAAGGCCCGTCCGATTCTATGGAGCAGAATCTCCTCGGACCTTCTGGGGGTCCAGACCCGGAGAGCCCTGAAATAATAGGAAACACCTCAAATGAAACATTTGCGACAGATCAACTCCTCCCTTCCTGTCTTCACCCGCCCGCCAGCCTCGCCCCCCCGTCCCCGCCGCATTTGTCTCCTGCCCGCCCCGCCCCGCCCCTTTTCATTGTCCTCCCCTTCTGTTTATACACAAAGACCCCCACCCTCCCCTTTTCCTCTTTCTTCCCGTCTCGGGCTCCCTCCTTCCTTCGCTTTCGATCTTTTCTCCCCCCCTTCACATTCCCTCCTTCCTCCTCTCCTTCTCTCTCTCTCTCTCTCTCTCTCCCGTCTCTCTTCTCCTCTGAAAGGATTTTAGCAGCCGGGCGGAGGTGGAGCTGGGCGGCAGAGGATTAGAAGTGGATGCGCTCAGAGACCGGCAGAGATTTCCGCCACCCCCGTCGCCCGCCTGCTCCTCCGTCGGGTGCCGTCGCCTCGACCGCGAACGCGCCTTCTTGGAAAGCAGCCGAAGAAAGAAGAAGGAAAAGGATCGGAGCGCCCCAACCCTTCACTTCCAGCTAGAACCCTGACTCAGATCCGCCTAGATCCCTCCCTTCCTTTGGACTGAGGGGGAAAACAAAAAAAAAAAGGAAGAGAAAGCGAGGCGGCTGAAGAAGAAGGGGAAAAAAAAAAATCCCCTGCATTCCGAGCCAACCGACCGGCTGGAGCCAGACGAGCTTCCTCCAGCCATGGACCAAGCGAAGGATCGCGCCTCTCGCCTGCCTCGGGCTTCCAAGATCCAGCTGGCTTGAAAAGCGTACGTAGAGGGATCCATTGCTTTGCTTCCTGGTTCGAAGGATCGGGGGATTCCTGGCGACGGGGCGGGGGGGGGCGGGGGATCGACGACCCAGATCTTCAGTTGGGGGTTCTCCTCAGATGGTGTGGTGGCGGGATCCCTATCTGCTCAGCCTCCAGATCCCGTCTAATTTTCCTCCGGATCTTTGAAGCATTCCGCGGGAGGCGGGAAGTGGAGGGAAAGAAAGGCTCTTTGGATCTCCCCTCGCCTGGATGTACAGTACACGTGTTGCTCCCTTTCCGACGTTTCTACGGATCCCGCCCTAATTCTCCGGAAGAAAACTTCCCCAGCAACTCAAAGGGTGTTTCCCCCCTCCCCTCCATCTTCTGCATCGCTTTTTCATATCTGCGGACTTTGAGACACACTAACGTGTTAAGAAGATTATTTTAAGGCTTTTTGTCCAAATTCCTGGAGGTATCAGTTCTTGGAAGTCTCTGGATGTACGCAATTCTTTTTCAGGGAAAAATTACCAAGCAGCATTTGTCTTTTGGGCTCCTAGATTCTAAGTGAGCTCTGATCTTCGCCATCCTCTGGTTAGATGTCTCGGCTTTCCAGAATATAAAAGTTGGGTTGTGGTACCAAAACGCACTTGATCTTGCCATTTGTTCCATCCGTTGTTTTTGTAAGGCTTTTGAACAGCAGGAATTCACGTGAAATTCTGAAGCTCGGATTCTGGTAATTTTCAATTATATTTATCTTGTTGACCTTTCTATCGCAAGCCTCTTCCTGTCCAACTTGGGGGGTGGTTCTTTGGACCAACCCAGAATCTCTTTTCTTTAATAACGTTCGGTTTCATCCTAATTTGCTTTTGAAAATTCTAATATTTATCGCTGTTGCTACAAGTTTCTGGTAAAATACATCAACCTTCTGATTTCAGCCAAATTTGCCAGTTGTGGGTTTTTGAAACCACCTCCCAGTCTAGTTCCAGACTAAAGACATGTCCCCTATCGCTCTAGTCTAGAGATCTGTGCAAACATTTGTGTCTGAAGTGCCAATTTTATTTAAACAGACCACGGGAAGGGAAAAATCATTCAATTCCTCCCGGATCACCTTTGTTTGCAATCAGATTCCCTCTCTGGGGTGAAAAGCCTTCTCTATACCCTTGCTGCAATCCTCTACACCCCTTGCCTGTGGGTAATTCTCAAGCTGCATGTTTATTTCTGAGCTGAAGGCATAAAACTGCTCTGTAAATAAACCTGCCCCATTGTTATCACCGCACAAGACTTTTGTTTTGTTTTTAATCTAGATTGCTTACTCAGTCACAACTATGTTCCTTGCATTCTTTTTTTTTTATTTATTAACAGCCATTAAGAAAGGTTAGATTAGAACACCCGATAGTAACACAAAACACATGGAAGGAAGCTGTTTTTTAAAATCCCCCACCCCTTAGTTCCTCTTCTCATTTTTCATGCTCTTCCACCCTTTAATGGCCCTTGTACTGGCCATCAAGATGGGGGGTCAAATCTTGTAAACAAACCTAATCGTTGTCTTGCAAGGATGCCTGGATTCCTTGCGTAAAGAGCCCCCCCACCCCCCACCACCCGTAGAACTGTCACCACCCCAACACACCAGAGACAGTGTGTGCGTGTGGCATGAGTTGGAAAGAGTGAGTGGATCAGGAGAGGGCGGAGGAAGGGAGAAAAACATCAAAGGTTGAGCCTGAAGGAAGCCTTTTATCTCTCTCTCTCTCTCTCTCTCTCTCTTTCTCTCTCTCTCCCTTCTCTCTTTCTCATTGCTAAAGGGACTTAATTTTGCAATATCTTCTGACAGATCCTCTTCCTCTTCCTGACCCTTTAAGCTACTCTTTCCCCTTTCCTTTCTTCTGAATGCGTTCCTCGTACTCTCCCACCTTTCCTTCTCCTTTTCCAGTCCAGCTCTCCCTCATTCCACCTCCATCTGTCACTTCCTACCATTTTCCTCTGATCATTTTTTTATTTCTGAGCCTCCATTTTCTGTTACTCTAAAGCTGTCTTTCTTCTCCTTTTCCCACCACTGCCCACCCCTCTAAAAACCTTCTACTCTAAAACCTGTTACTCGTTTCCGAGTCTGTTTCCACATCCTCTTCTTTCTCTTCCTTCAGTCCCTCTTTTATTCCATTTTTTTTCCTTTGCCTCTTTTGTTTTTGTGTTGCTTTTCGTGTTCTTTAAGTTGCTCCTCCAAGCCCCTTTTCCCCCTCTCTGTTTTCCCTTGCTTGGTACCTTCTCACTCCCTCAACATCCCACCAAACCTTTCCTTTTCTTTTTTTTCCCCTCCTTCCTCCCCCCCCCCCCCCCCCCCAGATTTCCCTCCTGTTTCCTGCTATATTTCACATTTCCAGCGAAGATGTCTTCAACTCCTCCACTGCCAGAATGGAAACTCCAGTTACTGGGGCGTCGGCGAAAGGAGGAAGAGGAGGCTCGGCGGCGGGAACAGGAGCAGCAAGACCGCATGGCTAAGATGCCGGCTTGGAAACGGGAGATCATTGAACGACGCCGGGCGAAGCAAGGTTCAAGCACTTCTTTTTCTGAACCAAGTGGACCAGGGGAAACCGAGAGCGGCTCATCCTCCGTGCCTGCTGCAACATCCTCCTACCAAGAGGGGGAGCCAGAGAGTTCTGTGCTACAGGAGAAGATTGGCCCAGTCCACCAAAATCCTTTCATTCAGCTGGAGAAACGCCGCCATCATCATGAGCCTGGCCCTCCAGAAAACGAACTTGCAAACACCAAAGCCAAGCAAATAGTGGATCTGTGCGGGCAGATTCCAGGCGTCCGGACCCTGAGGGCAGACAATGTCATTATAATTGAAACAGCCCACGGGGCGCCACCAGCACAGCTGGCTGCTGACCGCCACTCGGGAGAAGCCAAATCTGGCAGCATGGAGTCACTCAATGAGCTGCTGGCCCGCCGTGGGGGCAGTGTGACTGAGATCCGGGCAGGGGAGGTCTTCATCGTCAAGTCAGCTTTGAGCCGCAGTGTGGAGGATCTCAACGCTGTGGGCCGAGCTGAGCATCAGGCATCGCTGCCGGAGCAGCGCCAAGGGCGGGTGAGCAAACTGCTCAGCCGGTTCAGCCAAGACGATGGTGGAGGGGTGGTGATGCCATCGCCCCCGGTGAAGTCCCTCAGCACGGAGAATTTAACTGAAAGCATCAGCTTTGGAGGAAAGAAGACTGTCCATTCCCTGGCAGACCCCATCCTGGCCCGGCTGCCCTGCGTCAACCGCCTCCCCAGCCCTCCCTGTGACCTCCCGGGATTGACACCCCCAGGACCTTGCACTGTGGCATCTTATCGAAGCCAGTTTGAAGCAAAGTCAAGCAGTGGGGAGGGCTGGCCAGATAGTCCCCCAAGGCGCTCACCCACTGGGAAAAGGTGGGGAAGGGAGGCCGCGTCCCCAGACAGAGGAGCCAGGGTGGAGAGCGGTGATACGGAGACGGCAGTGGAATGCAATTCGGCTGAGGACGATGTCCAGGGCAAAGCCTTGGCCAACCTGCGTCTCCACTCCAGGAACTCCTTCATGGTTGTGCCACTGAGGGCTTCGGCCTCCCCACCCCCAGAACCCAAACAGGAAGCCAGCCCTTCTCCTCCTTCAGCCAAGCCCCCAGTCCCCACTTCCTGCTCTTCACCCAGCTGTGAACAACTTCTCCAGGAGGCTGTTGAGGAGCCGCCGCCCGAGGCTGAGGCCATGAGACGCGGTGGCAACAGCAAAGTTAAGGAGGATGTCAGGATAGGAGGCTTGGGCCGGGTCTCATCCCCCCATCCAGCAATGCAGCGTCGCAGTGGCAACACCATCACCATCAATCCTCGGAAAGCCCCTGTGTCACCTGTCACAGCTGTGGAGAACGGCATCGAGAGCTCTCCGCCGTTGGCCACGGGGCCCATGAAGAAGCGCTACCCCACAGTGGAGGAGATCCAGGTGATTGGAGGCTACCTCTCCCTGCAGAGATCGTGTCTTGCAAAGAACGACCGACATCGGAAAAAGGTAGGTGATCCTCCAAACCCTTTTCAGCTGCTTGCATTTCGCAAACACCTGCACTTTTGCATTTCTCCTAAGTTCCTAAGGCTTTTGGGGGGCCGCAACTTTTTCAGGTGCTTGGTTTTGCTTTTTCACTTTTTACACCCACCGCAACGCCCATCCTTGTGATCGCTATTACCTTTTCCTACATTCTTGTTCCTTTATTCCTCTGACACTATTGGAGATATTCATCTCAGAAAGTGAATATTTCTGGGACAATTCAATTTCTAGAAATTATTGTTGCAGGAGGCAGGATTCAATTCAAAGCGGGTAACCAAGCTACTCTTTTTTGTCTTATTGGAACTTGATATTTTTAATGTAATACAAAACTTTGCCTTCTGTAAAGCAGATCTCCAGTTCCTCTTCTTTTACAGGTGAGCTAATGAAGCAAAGAAAATTGAGCTTGTTCTTGGTTGGCACACCAGTTCAGGACTCACACAAAGCTTTAAATCCCTGCCCCAAACTCAGTGCTTTAGCCTACAGTCCTTGACTTTCCATTGAAAATGTACTTGTAATACTAACCTTTCCTTTTATGCTACCTACAATAGCGCAACACACACACACACACACACACACACACACACACACACACACACATATATATTGAAAGGTCCTTGGGATACAGTGCAATTTCACACCCTGCCACACACAGTAAAACAATTAATATCTAGTACCTCTGATCACTTGTTCTGCAGAGATCAGTTTGGAGATTGTGTGTGAGGCTGCTGTTTTCTCTGAATGAGCTTTCCACACTAAGAACAAAGATGGAAGAAACCACACAGAAAACTAAGCACCAGCACCCCAAAATTCCATGAATGCTTAATTCTTCATCCAATCACGCTGTCTTTTTCTTTCTCTGTGCAATATTGTCTCCAGTTGCTCTGTGTTTATCTCTTCCACACGGTTCTTCCTTTTAATTTCATCCTTACCTTGAGTTGTCAGCAATGCTCAGAGGAAGACAGCTACATCCTGCAAACTGCATTAAGGTTTCCTAATGTACAATTTAAAAAAAAAAGAAACAACATGCTGGATTTGAGGCTTAAACCATGGTTCTTGGCAGGGATGTTTTTGTGGAAGCTGCAAAATACTTGTTGCTTGCATGTTTTAGGGTTCACACAATGCCTGATCAAAAGGAAATAACTAATATAGGCAGGTAGAATTATTTTATTCATTTGCAAATTTGTTTCGCAGGCTGATTTTTAATGTCCTTTTAGACATATGTGACATTTGTAGACAGACCTCAGGAGAGGAAACTATAGGCCAGCTCCTTTGTTGTGTTGACTGCATTTTCCGAGCACACTTCCAGAATACAAATCTTTGCTTACTTCAAAGGGTGATTGATATCATGGTTGTAGTTAATATGCAACTGCCTGTCCATCTGAAATTTCACCAGGTGTTAGCTTTGACCTCTTGAAAGCAATTCCTGCTAAAAAAAAAAAAAGAAGTCATTCCTGTTATGGAATGAGACATTAAGCACTTTACTGAACTTTAGCATCCATTCTCCAATGCATTTATTTATGGGGTTTGTGTGCTACCAAATCCCTATAGATTCACAGTGGTTCATGGCGCATGAACAAACAATGTAACGTTATAATTTTATTCTAAACCAGTAACAAAATCATACAATAGTGGGAATCCCATGATTCACATAATGGCACTTGAGAACTTCACCATTTTTTGAGTGATATATACATTAACACGCCCACGTGTATTTGTATAAAATGACAGGATAGGATAAGAGACATTATCCAAGAAAAGAAAATTTTGTGTTTCCCGAGGAATATATCAAAGATGGCGTCTTTTGAAGCTGATATACTTTTTTCCCCCAGCTAAATATGACGTTCGAGCACCGATTTTCACATATTCTGCTTAGAACCAAGCATTGGGTTGGGGGCTGAGGAATAGAAACCCTGTTCACTGCTGAGCATGGCAGGATAAAGAAATAGTGAGGAAAAGTGATTTGACTTCCCCCTTCACTTTGCTTTCCTTCATCATGTGCTTTCTTAAGTGCTTGCTTAGAAACTTTCCCAATTTTCAGAGGAAAATATGAGCAGAAGAAGAATTAAACACCTGCGTACCATTACTTTCTATCTGCCCGTTCTCCCATTTAAGATTGCGATGCTGTTTTTAAAAGGTTGTGAAAGTTTCTAGACACAGCAAACTATTGAGTGTGTTGTTTTTCCCTCAAAGCATATATGTGCAGATCAGGTGTGTATTTTTAGGATGATATATGACAGGGGTGTCCAACCTTGG